TTTAGAGGAGAGGCTTTACTGCTGCTCATTTCAAACCCATCGTTTTAATTTTATATATCTGAAAATTAATCACTTTGGGCTTACACGTTTTATAAATATAAAATTATGTATGTTAAAATATTTGTAATTAGGCACATAGGTCAGATTAAGTTTTTATTAAATAGAGTAATGCATGCAAGGGCTATCTGCCTAAAGAGAGAGATGCCATCGTGGAGGAATTTTGAAGAAAAACTTACCTTTGAGTGGGTATTAAAAATAATACTTATAATTTTCGTTCAAATTATATTTATATATATTTTTTATGTAAAACTTTCGGGTGTATGCTAAATTAGTGTAAATTACTTTACACGAAAAATATAGTGAATGCACAGAAATGAAAGATTTGCACATGCTGGAAATGAAAAATAGGAAATATGTATGGGTATTTATGCATGTGCTTGCATAAAGCATGTATCTGCCTTTGACAGAATACTTTAATATTCATTAAATTATTTATAAATGTATTTGAAATGAAGAATTTATTCACTTATAAACAACTGTGAAAGTACTGTGAAGAAATCTAATTATTAAATGTATCTAATTTATAATGATTAAATGTTATCTAAATATATAATAACCTTAATATTGAATTGTAAACATAAATTGAAATCCTGTTGACAAATACGTTATAAAACTATTTAAGCAAGAATTGTTCGTATTGGAAAGCAATCTGTTAAAAGGTATTGTTAAAGCAAATGCTATGAGATGCGCACTTAAGAACGTAATAAAGAGTTTTAGAATATGTATTGTTGAAATGAAGGGTAAAAAAAAAAAAAAAAAATCTGATAAGTATAATTAAAAGAATTATTCCCCTTACATTTTATAATAACTCAGTTACAAGTTTTAAATAATACTTTAAAAAAAAAACTTATTTTATTCCCTTTCAGAAATGTTCAGAGAAAGTCAAGTACTATTTAATACCTATTTAATTCTCTAATTTCAAAATGAACCGAATAGAGCATTAATTATAAATTGACTTACATTTTTTGATTTAAAAGATGCCTCAGAAGCCAAAAAATCATGTCATATTTAAGAAAGTATTTTAGGAAGAAGCTCTATAAATAGAAAAGAAATAATGCATAATTTTAATATTAATAATACAATAAACTTTGATCTTAATTTTTGTACCTTAACCGAATAAAATCGAATTACCTTAATTTTTTTTTCTAATGTAATTAACGAAAACTTGTGAAAATATTTCATTCAAATTAAACCATTCTGAGTAAACTGCCCTGTGAAAAGTATAGCATTTAATTCCGTTCAGAATGAAATGTTGTTTAAAAATATGTTGTTTTCACATACTTAGGACTCTGAAGTGTTGTAGAAAAAGAAAATATATACATTTATATGTATATTTACGACGTAATTACAAAATATATACATCCGAATGCGTCAAATCCCATAGAACTCAATGGTAAATGACCCAATGTTTTGGTCACCACATAGGGATCGCCGGTGCTTCAGAGCAGGATACGGGAGAAACTTATTTAGGGCGACTCCATCTTACTTCCTACCTCCATGGGTAAGATGGATGCAGAAATTATAAAATTAAAAATATGAAACCGTAATTTATGAAATAAAGAACAATTGTGATCTAAAGGGTATCAAAATTTACAAAACAAAACAAAACAAAACAAAAAAAAAAAAAAAAAAAAAGCTTAATATTTATTTGTTTACTAAACATTTCTTTCAATGTAAGTTGTTTAAGTTGCTTCCTTTTTTATGTGATAATACATTCTCTTCTTCTGTAATTCTATAAACAGACATAATTTCATGTTCAGTTACAAAATTCCACTGTTCAAGTCCTATAACTGCTGTGTCGAGAATACCGACTAATTCGTCAATCGAAATTTTTTCGTTTTCAATAACCTCTGTGTCACTTTCTTCGCTATTGGAAGCGAATTATGATGAGGAGGAATTTGATTTAAATCATATCAAAGGAGTACATCGAGATGAAATATTAGATTTAGTAAGGAGTTATAAGCCAAATAAAATAAAATCATCTTGCCCTGAAGATAAGGATAGTGCTGACAGATCAACTTCCAATTCATTGTGCGCCGCAGCATTAAAGATAAACAAGGTTTAGATAAACAGAGGATATGTCTTTATCCATTTTTTGCAGCAATTCCACTTTTTGTTAATGGACTTCGAAACATACTTTCGCTTTGTAGATCCTTTACATATTAGTAAATATATAATCAGAAATTCTATTTGACATAATCGAAAGTTCAAGCTTACTTTTATAAAATTGCTCTAACCATCTGCAAAAAATAATAAGCCGAATCCAATTCGATGATTAAGGAACAACGCAATCTGCAACATTAACTGAAGTAGATAATTTTAGCTTAGCTTATACCATCCGTTATACATTAAATGTGCATTCGTAAACATATTTTGCGCACGCGCATATTCGCAGCCGTAAAGGTCTTATGCGTCGACGCGACGCATGCGCAGAAAGTTTGTAGCTTTGAGGTCCGGATTATAGATCATTCCGAATTATGGGTGTCCGAATTAACAACTTTTGACTATATATTCTTCTTTATTTAAGGTACTTGTGAAGAGCTAAATTAAACGAGACGTCACTTTAGGAAAAACAAATCCCGAACCTCTCATATTGCAAAAACAATAAAAAAACATTGAAATCAGTACAAATTAATACATTATATTAAAATTAAAAGTAAGATTGCACTATAATTAAAAGTAGGGACTTATATACAAATTAAGAAACAGTGCCAGAAAGGAAATTAAAATTAATTTACTTGTTTGCAAAATGTGAAACGAAATGGTAGAACTGTAAATGTACTCAATAATGGAATGTAATAGGGTTGTCGTATTAAATGTGAGAAAATTAGTTGTTGGTGATGTGTTAAACTCTATTTTAGAGATGGTTGCCTTAAAATGGCGAGATAATCTTACTGCTAGTTAAAGTTGTCATTAGATACTAGTTTCTTAGTAAAAAACGTTTTCTAATCAAACAGATAAAATAAATTAATTTATTTCTAAAAAGCATAAAGAAGAAGGAGGTCTCTTTACTAGAAAAGGACTGTTTACCAGTCTGAGAAAATTTAAATAGGCCCATAAGTTAGCAACAGAATAGAATGCCAGAAAAAAATTGTATATACAAAAAATATATACAAAATTATATATACAAAATTTATAAATCTTAAACTAACAGACATTTAACTTAATCCACCTTTTGAAGGTTTAGGAATAAATTGTCATAACCTTATCAGTTAACAGGTTTGAATTGAGTATTTAATGTCTGTTTTTTTAAGACAGTAATTAATAAATTTATCTGATACCAAATTATTTTTAAGAACTTGAATAAGTATTAATATCTAGTTTTGAATATCTAGTTTATCATTACAAAGTATTTGACTAATAATTGCATTACTAATTACTTTTCTGGAAATATGTTTGAAGCCAGAATACATTGCTGGCCGTTAAAATTGCAACACAAGAAATGAATGATCTGACAAATGTCAAAATCACATCACATCACATGAAGAAGTTGGGATATGCAAATGATTAGAATTTCAGCACATTTAGATGATGCAGGAGGGGGAAACGACATCTGAAGCATTGCATAAAAGAAAAGTTGTGTAGTCAGTTTCTCATTTGGAAAGTTGGAGTTTGCTCAGAATATCGCGTTATGCCTCTAATAAGAAGAGGAAATGCTTATCAGCAAGTTTCAAAATTCCATTGAGGCAGGATCGTTGCCTGTCGAGAGTGTGGATTACCATTCCATGATATTGTTCATCACACTGGTCAACATCCAAACACTGTCATGTGAATATGGAAGCAATGCATTTCTAAGGGTCCTTCTGAATGGCATGCAGGATCTCAATGCCCTCCCATGATTAACATCAGAGAGGACAGACATATTGTGAGGTCAGCCCTGCAAAACTGTAGGACAACATCACACACCATTAGTCAGTAAATGGGCATGTTTGCAGCACGCTCAGTATCCACCCGTAAGTTGCATCAACATTTGCAGCAGTGTAGACTATCAGCAGGGTGACCATTACTCCAGCTTTCCTTGACAATGCAGCATAGAGAGAGACAGCAACTCTGGTGTGCCAAATGACAAAGTTGAGTACAGGAGTGGCACAATGTTGCCTTTTCAAATAAGTCCTGGTTCTACATGCAGTATTCTGATGACTCTATACATAGCTGGAGTATCCGAGGAGACTGAACTTTGCATGCTTGCATTTGATATCAGCATAGGAGCCGTGCATCTGGTGTGATGGTTTGAGCAGTCATTGGGTACATAACATGCACATCTCTAGTTCAGATCAATGGTAATTTGAACGCAGATGGTACATGTCTGACATCTTACATCCAGTGATTGCACCGTATCTTCGAGGTCCTCAAACGTCATGTTCCATGTCATGTTTTGAACTTCCTCAATACACAGGGTTTTCGACTGCTGCATGGTCACTAGATCTGTCACCCATTGAAACCATCTGGTCATTGATTGCTGAGAGACTAGTCCACCAGCCATCTCCAGCTAATATGGTTGATGAAATGTGGGATAGACTTGAAGCAGCATGGAATGAGTTGCCCATTTCTGTCATCCAAGTGCAATTTGACTTCATGCCTAATGGGTAAGGGCTGTATTAGCTGCCAGGGGTGTCAACTGTTTATACTAATTTCACATCCCTGCAAACCTTCAAAATGCTTACAAATTGAATCATTGGTCTTCATGCCATACTGTTTATATGTAATAAATATCTTTTTTGTATTTTCTTTCCTTCATGGTGTTGCAATTTTAATGGCCAGCAGTGTATATATATATAATTATATATATGTAAATATATAAAGCAAAAAATGTAATAATGACATTAATATAGTGATTTTATTTATCTATAACTGAACAAAAAAATTTAAATTATGGATTTTTATGTATGTTTTAAAATTATTTCTTCTGTTGTTCAGACAGTATTTTTATTTTTTATTAGAACTTTCATTATATTAATGATCCTCATCAGTATTGGTTGGATACCTATAATTCAAAACTTGCAAGGAGGGCAGCTTTTTATCTACATTCAGTCAGTATCAGCATACCTTGCCCCACCAATTGCAGCTGTTTATATTTTAGCTGTTTTGTGGAAAAGAATGAATGAACAGGTAAATTGCTTGAGATCTATTTATCTGTTTGCAGTTAGTTCTCAAATATGAAATCATGAACACATATTATATGTAATAGAGTATATATTAATACTCAAATATAAAATCATGAATTTGTATTAATCTCAGGATTTTAAATTAACTTATACAGTACAAAGTCCGAAATCTGGACTTGTTGGGATTTCGGCGATTGCAGATTTGTGATCTTTTCCATATATTTGATCATCAGTTTAAATCTAGTAAGAAGGCATGTAGAAATTATATTAAAAATATGAAATCATGATTTATGATCTAAAGGGTATCAAAATTTACAAAAAAAAAAAAAAAAAGCTTAGTATTTATTTGTTTACCTTATTAAACATTTCTTTCAGTTTAAGTTGTTTAAGTTGCTTTTTTTTTTTTTTTTTTTTTTTTTTTTTTTGTGTGTGTGTGTGTGTGTGTGTGTGTTAATACTATCTCTTTAATTCTGTAGACAGACATAATTTTGAAGTCCTGTAACTGCTGTTTCGAGAATTCCGACTAACTTGTCAATCAAAATTTTTTTCATTTTCAGTAACTTCTCTGTCACTTTCTTCACTATCTGTAGCAGTATTTTCTGGATTTAGAACCATACTACAGATTTCGCCATTCATTAATTGATTCATGATTGAAAAGCATTGTCACCACAATGAAAAACTTCTTTTATATCATCTTCATTCATTACCGCTTCTCCGCATTGCTTTACAAAATCCGTTAATTGGAAAATTTCTCCTTTGTTTTGTGATATCCGAAAACCTTTAAATTCGCAGCTAGCATCAGCAAATTTAACTATTGTTCACTATACATATTTGGCTATTATGCATCATGAGCTTCGCGACTAACGACAAGTTGTTCTATTATATTTTATCAGACTTATTATGTTAGTTTAGTTATTTATTATACTTATGTCTATTTCTTGCACATGCTTAAGGCTTATCAGAGTTCTGAATAAATGAATTCCCACATATACTTAAAACTTACTGAGGGCTGCCGCTAGATATCTTACCGCCTGATGCAGTCTCTGTGGGTCCTAAATTCTGCACCCAAGGCGGCCATATGAGCCCTGGCACTCATTCTGGGTTTATGTGAATAACAAATAAGTTATTCTTAATTAAAATAGCCCTAAATTCAGTCTTTGGTTCTATGAGTATTATCAACAAAATCTATTTTTAGCATATGGAAAGAGAGTTGTGGTAAATTTTTCCTCGTCAACGTTTTTAGCGCATTTAACGTAAATCTGTAATCATCGCCAAGCGAAATGTCAGCATAAAAGGTTACCATACTCCTTTATTATTCAAACACTAACATAAAAAAATTTTTTCTGCATCGCAACATGAGTCATTACTCAAGTTGTCATGTGTTGATAAACATGCGGTGATGAAAGGAAAGTATAATAAATAATGATTTGCCAGGTTGGTGTCAGATCAACGAATATATCCTATGTGGAATGTTTCGGTTTGAGATATGTGTCTAAAGCAGATATGCAGCAACGGAGCCAACTTGCTGATCATACAAATTTATGCTAAAATGATTATTTCTTCAATAATGAGGTATTTTATTTAGTATCGAAGTGAAATTAAAAATCGGGACTCTCCAGATGTTTTATCATGCATGGAGGGGAGAATCAAAGGCACGTGTGTAAAGCCTACGAAAAAACCGTTAGTGGTGGTTCTGAGGTCCAGATTTTAGATTATTCCGGATAATGGACATCCGGATTTCAAACTTTCTACTGTATATACTTTCAATTTTGCTTAATATTAAATATATGTTTTCAGTTATGCTTAACGAATATATGCTTTCAGCTATACTTAACAAACATATGCTTTCAGTTATGCTCATAACACCAATTGCTACTGCATTGCATTTGCTTTGCATCAATTTTGTAGGTGAGTTCTTTAAAATATCTCATGTTTGAAGGGGAAGTTTCATCCAAACTTCACTCCTGAAAGAAAAGTTTTGTTCAGCTGTCCATATTTACATTAAAATATTATTGCATGTTATTTAAGCACATCTTATATCTGCATGTAACATAAAATCGTTAAATACAGTCAAAAGTCTTTATTCGGACTCGTCGGGACTTCGGCGATTCCAGATTATACATCATCAGTTTAAATCTGGTAAGATGGCATGCAGAAATTATGAAATAAAAAATATGAAACTGTAATTTATGAAATAAAGAGCAATTATGATCTAAAGGGTATCAAAATTTACAAAAAAAGAGCTTAATATTTATTTGTTTACTTTATGAGACATTTCTTTCAACGCGCCCATGCGTAAAGCATACATTATGTATAGTCGAAATTAGAAAATTGCAACCAGAAAAATATTTGATGTGTATTCGTGATATTTATAATGATGAGGAATTTGATTTAAATCATATCAAAGACGGAGTACATCGAGATGAAATACTACAATTAGTAAGGAATTATAAGCTGAATAAAATAAAAACATCTGCCCTGAAGATAAGGATAGTGTTGACAGATCAACTTCCAGTTCATTGCGTGCGCGCCGCAACGTTCCCCTCCCCCTTCCCCCGCAGAGCAGCGTGAAATTGATAAACAGATTTCGGAATGGTTAGAGAAACAAAGGATATGCCTTTATCCATTTTTTGCAGCAATTCCACTTTTTGTTTGATGGACATCGAAACATAATCCTTTGTAGATCCTTTGGCAGCTCCAGAATCGGAAATTCTTTTTGACATAATCGAAAATTCAAGCTTTACTTTTATAAAATTGCTCTAATAGTTTGCCAAAAATAATAAGCCAGATCCAATTAGAAGATTAAGGAACAACACAATCTGTAACATTAACTGAAATAGATAATTTTGGCTTAGCTTATACCATCTGTTATCCATTAAATGCACATGCGTACACGTAATTTACGCATGTGTAAACGTATTATGCGCATGCGTTAATACATGCGTTGACGCATGCACAGAAAGTTTGTAGCTTTGAGGTCCGGATTATAGATCATTCCAGATTATGGACTTTTGACTGTATATATGAAATTTATACTTTTTATTATAAATCTGCATTTTGAATAAGAGAAGAAGTTTGAGAATTAATAATTTTAGTATCATTATACAGAGTCTGTTGAAGTAGATGCAGAATTTTTAATGTTAAAACCATGAAAAACATAACTTAGTAGCAGATGCAACAAATACATTATATTTTTTACTCTTTTAGGGCTGCTTTTGGGCTATGATGCTTGGTTTCCTAGTTGGTGTTACCCGAATGGTTTTGGATTTCATTTATCGACAACCTGCTTGCAATGAAATTGATACAAGACCTGTCATCATTCAAAAAGTTCATTATATGTACTTTGCTTGTATTTTGTTCTGTATCACTGTAATTTCTGCAGTTATCATCAGCCTTATGACAGAACCTCCAGAAGAGTTTAGGGTAAGCCACTAAATTTTGTTTAGTTTTTCGAATAAATAATATTTCTGTGTTCATAACATGCATAGTGATTAATACACTCATATTGGAAATGAAAAGGCCAGTGAGGTTTCAAAGAGTATTTTGTTTTATCTTTTTATTTTTAAAATAAAAGGCTATGATTTATTTGATCTTGTACACTTAAATACCAAAAATCTTGGACTTACTATTATGTGAAGGGCACTCTAATTCACTCTATTTGAATTCACTATCCGCTGGTTTATAGAAAGTTTAAACTCTTCAGAAAATGTGCCAACTGATTCAGCTACTCCAAACACTAAAAAATCGTTAGTAATAAAAAAATCGGAAATATAATCAAATGCAAACAGGGAATAAATTAAGCTTTTCATGTTTTTCATACTCCTTAGAACATAATAATATAGTAATCCTCTTAATAGAAAATAAAATACTCTAGAAATAAAGAAAAAAATACTCTAGCAGATTAGGTAAGGCTAATAAATGAAGTAAAAAAAAAAATACATCGCTGTGTAGCTTACGATTGATAATCACTTGCATCAATATGAAAATATATTCTGTTAACAAAGAAATCGATTAGAAATCATAATCTGAAAAATATTGCATCATAAATTAAGTTAATTAAAACAATAACAGAAACTCCAAATGATCTGCTCCATATGTTATATTCATACTTCCATCATTCTCAACTGATTGACAAAAAATTCAGTTGACATTTTTCATGTCTCAAAAGTGTGATTTAGGATATATTTTATATTTATATATAATATTGTTCTAATACAGGGTGGAAACTACCTTATTTTTAAAATGAATAACACAAATACTATTAGCGATATAGTTTAATTTTTTTTTTTTTTTTATGTTATAAAGAGACACTTAAAGTTTCTTTTTATTATGGTTTAAAAATGGTGGCCTCCGTTCTCATTAAGGTGACCTTCGTTCTGGTCAATGCATTGAGATAGTCGAATTTTGAAGTTTCTTTCTATTTTTACCAGCATATCAGTGGGTATGTTCTCGACAGCAGCTTGAATATTGTTCTTCAGTTGAACCAAGGTCTTTGGATGTTAGAGATTTTAGATAGCCCTACAAAAAGAAATCACACAGGGCTAAATCAGGCGAATGTGCTGGCCACTGACAATCGCCCCATAAGGAGATAAGGTGTTCAGGGAAATGTTCTCCAAAAAATCATGGTCCAATGATGCCTATTCTGGACAATGCACACCAAACAGTCACACGTTCTGTATGGAGGGGCTGCTCATGAAATTCTCGGGGATTCGTGCCACACCATTATTGCATGTTTTGCTTAATGCATGCTGCAACTGGGAAGATGAAAATGAGCCTCATCGCTAAAGAACACAAGGGTGGCATCTTGAAACATATTGTCAAGAACGGCTTTGCATGTATTTTTTTGCGAAAGAAAATCGCATGGAAAGTTTTTGCACCACTGCCACTTTATATGGATGAAAATGCAGTACATTGAAAAGTACAGTCTCCACGGAGAACGTGCGCTCCTCTCTCGTTCACTGCATGATCGGTACTAAACTTACATGACATAAAACTGTAGATACCGCTCTTTTCAATGAGCGCCACCCCACCCTTCTAGGAATAAATGTCGCTAGATGGCATGCGTTTCAAATGAGGAAGTTTTCCTCCCACACCCTGTATATTATTTGAATACGAAATCGGACTTTTATTAGAAGCCAAATTTTTTCTGCATTTTCCTTCTATGCCTCAAACTATGCCAAAGTGCCAAGTTTTAACACATTTTTTTAAAACAGTTTTTTTTTTTAAATTAGCAGTTAAAATTTTAATCTTGCAGTGTTAATAGAATTTCCCATGTATTTAATAATATTTTATTTTAAACCGAACTTATTTAATTTCTATCATAATTTGAAATTTTGGATTTGCTCAGTGAGTTTCTTACCAAATTTTAGAAAAAAAAAATTGGCATCTCATTTCATAAAAAGTCCAACTTTGCGTCATATTCACATGTAAGAACAACACTATATAGAAATCTAATTGGTATCATAAATCAGGCTATGTAGACATGGAAAACTGCAAGTTGCATTTCATCAATTGGAAAAGTAAAAGAGAGATAGAACTGTCCTCCCCTCTTTTTCTGGGGGAGGGTGTACTTCTTAATATTAGTCAAAGCATTTTTAATAATTCTGATGTTATGGAAATAATATATAATGACATGCTAATATTTAATTTTTCTCTTTTTGTTATTTTTTACTTATAAATTGAAACGCTATTTAAGAGCAGTCAAAATAACTATTGCCATTGTTTTATATATAGGTAAATTTCCCAAACTCTAATGTTAATATTACTACACTTTATCTTTTTACTCAAATGTAAAATAAAGTTTTTTGAAAAGCTCTACAAACCATGAAATTTATGAATTTTAAACATTTGGAAAATTTATTGCTTCTGTAAATTTTCTATATCCCATAGTGCAAAATGATATTTAATTGTAATTTTTCAACAGCTTGTTAGGACAACCTACTGGACTAGGTTTGAAGAAGGTGATAGGGATGATGATAAGGATAATTTTGAAATGCGAAGAAATGTTGACCTCCAAGAGAAAGTATGTTTAAATGATATGAGCCAAGAAGAAGCTGGAGATATAGATGGTAATCTATAAATCATTTTTAAATTATTATTTTGGTTATCTTTGAACATGTTTCAATATTTTTTTATTTATATTTAGCATATTGTTGAATATATCTCTATCAGTGGATTTCTATTTAGTAATAGCATGTTATTTAAAAAAAAAAAATAGTTTGGGATTTTATTTTATTTTATTTTATTTTTTATTTTTTTATTTTTTTTTTTATTTTTTTTTATTTTTTTTTTTTTTTTTTTTGAGGAACAAGGACTTTTTCTTTAATGGAAGCACATAAGTAATAATGCTTCCTCTTATTTCTTAGTAGTTTTGTGGAAGTTCTGATGCTTTTAAATTTCCCATTAAATGCAGCCCCATTCTGCAATTATAATTGTCTAGGACTGAGGTCGGTAACATGGTATTACTAAGAATATAATTTCATTTCAGCTGATCATTGTGTATCAGTAACTTATTTCAGTTGCACAAAATAGTTTGCAGTTTTAACATTTATGAACAACATATTATATTAATTTTTTTCTTAAACATTTTTGCATTACCACAATAGATTTTAAGAATATTATAACTTTTACAATTCACATACATTAGCTCAGTTATGTATTTATTCTTATTTATTTATTTACTAGCCTAAAGGAGAAATTTTCCCAGAAGGACTATTAATTTCATTTTGGCATTTTGTGTTGGTTGTCATTATATAAAACGGCATTTCACTTTTCAGATTGTTGCCACCAAATTATTATAGCCTTGCATTATATTTAAAGAAATTAAATAATGAAGAATCTGCATGAATGTATGTATGCTTTCCGCACTATGAGGAAACAGTGGTACCTAGAGACATCAAATTTTGAATAATGTAGTCCTCCATTCAAATGCGGGCATCTGGAAGCCAAATTTGGAGTTTATTTTATTATCTATTTCATATTTTGTAAAACTTTAACGAAATTTAATTAACAAACTCAACAATTTCAAAGCGAGCAATGGCAATGACAATTTACTCTAGAGGGGGGAAAACATTTTTATATCCAGCACATGAGACTGTGTATCGGAAATTCTAAAGATATGCTGTTTTTAAATTATTTTGAGATATTGCTCTTGAACTGATATTGACCTTGTTAAGCACAAAGAACATGATATTTAATAAATAAAGGTAACGCACAAAAGGTTTTAAAAAAATGCCCTTTTGGGCGTAATATAAAACCTGAAAGTTTTCAGATTTTTATAATTGTTTGTATGTTTGGTTTTAATAATTATTATAGCTGCCCTACAGTGTCCTTTAAAATTCTGCATCTCTAAAATATGCCCTCCTAGTAAAAAAAGGTTGTTGAATAGAAGAGAAAATTTCTTTTTCGTGACAGCAATTAATTCACATTAGTGCTTTTGAAGAAATCACAGATTATATAATGTTATTCATAGATATTTATCTGTAATAATAACGTATTGTATTAATATATTAACATTTAAGAATTCTGAAATTTTACATAGAGAAATTTGATTCACAAACATCTTTCACCTTCAACACTGCATTTCCAAAGAATGTAGGAAAAGTTTTTGAGTTAATTTCAGAATGTATATGTCATGAGGTGAAAATCAAAATTGATCGATATACACTGATATACATCTTGAAGTGTATGAAAATTTTTGCAGTTCACTATCACTTATTTTTCTGTAGCTATAAAGAAGTAATATTTGGATTGAAAACATGTCAAGAAGCTAGTGATTGAAAATTTATAACATTTAAAACTGTATTCCCAAGTTTTCCCCATAAGATAGTCGTACATAAAATTTAACATTTATGCTTCTGGAATATTTTTAATTTAACACATAAATAGTTTAATTTCATAATGTCTTAACCCTTTCAAGACTAAAAATGAACTGCCTTGGGACATATTGCCCCGTTAGTCTCGAAAGGGTTAAAATAGCTTTAAGCACACATAAATGCTTGCTCACACTAGAAAAACTTACTTTTTCCCACTTTGTGCAAGTGACCACTAAATTATAACTTAAATCTATTTTTAAAAAATAGCTATCTATTATAGTAAGGTTGTTGTAGTTGCATTGTACAACATTATAAATGTAACATTTTAAGCCCTCCAAAACTATACTACTTAAACATCTTGCTTTAAAATTATTTGACATGCTGGAAACTGAACTTGCACTAAGGTACAAGATCGTTAATTATTCAGACTGAAATTTAAATTATATTTGATATTTCTTTTCTTTGAAAGAAATTGTTGAGATTACATTGAAATATAAAAATAATGAATACATCTGGAAATCCTGGTTGGTCATAATTATTTTATGTTGTATTAAAAAAAATCAGATTGATGTAAATACAATCTTATATTTTCACAACATTTTTTCTATTTTCCTTAGCAGAAGAAGCTCAAGTACCTGGAGTAATTGAAGAAAAAACTGCAGTTTTTTATCTGAAGAAATTGGGCAATTGGTTTTGTGGTTTTAATCAAAATACCCAAGATAAAAATGAGGAGGTTTTTCAGCACCTCACCGAAATTGCATCTCTGCGTCAAAGCAAGAGAGATAAAATTATTCTTAACACTTTATTGGTTATTGCATTGGCTATACCAGTATTTACATATGCTTATTTTTCTGTAGCTATAAAGAAGCTTGAGTATTAAGATGTTTAAAGTTCTACATCCTAGTTCTTCAAATTAAAAGTAACAAATTGTATTTCAGCATAACATAGTGATTTTCTTTGAATTTAAATAATGGAAAAAATGGAAATTCAAGGGGGTGATAAATTCAAGCTTTGTAAACAAACAAAAAAGTTCTGATTCTCCCTTTAAGCATTATAATTTTTAAATTTTTAAATATATATATGTGTGTGCAACTTATATAAAAATTGGCCTTTTGATATTTGAAAAAGTTGTAAACTATTACCTTGCATTGCAATGTAAATCTTAGTAAGTACAGTGGAGTCATATTCTTACAAACTTATCACGGTTATCTTTAGTTTTGTAAACACTTTATTAGATCAGTGTCTAATGTTTCAAACAACTGGTATGAAAATATATTCAGTATGAACATTAGTGTTTTTTCACAGCACTTTCTAATAGTGTATAAAATAATATGTACTGTTGTATTCTATCCTTTGATGTAGTCTAAAGGAGAAGCAACCTCCACATGTTAGTTTAAAATACATTTTTGAGTAGTTTAAGATGAGTAGTATTTTTATATTTCAGGTAATGAGTAAAATAATATTTTGAAAAAGAAAAGAATTAAACTATATTGCAAAATAACTGCTAGCAACAATCATTTGGAAAGACATTGTATAAAATACATAATTTCAAGTCATATATTTTAAGCAAATGTAAGTTACACTAGACAAAAAAAAGTAATGTGTCATATTTTTATAATGAACCTTTAGAGAAATTTTTGGTTTTCCAAACACCATGTCATTTAAGAACATTTGGATTTTTCTTATACATTTTTTATTAAAATATTTATATGATTTTATACATAGATCATTACTTGTTCGCAATCTAGTTACATGAAAATTATGATTGAGGCATTTTATTTTCAGCAAGTAATTAGATCAGATTTTGGTACTTAACCTAGCATTTTGTATGCTAAAATATTCTATATCAGAAGTTACTGAGTAGTAACTGCAGAACTAGTTTTATAAATACTTTACTTTGATAAAACAATTTTTTGTCCTTTCATTTTTACATTGAAAGACAACTTGTAAGGTTATTTCTTTCTACATATATGTACAAAATAGTTTGGTAACAGTGGGAAATGGATTTTACGTCAATGAAAAATAGTATTGCCAGTTGCAAAAATACTTTTTTTGGCATACATTTTGTGACATTGATTTTCCATAAATTAAAGATTACTACTCGCTTAAACTGTAAAAATTTAGATTTTATATGATAGTGATGTGTTCTGAAATAGATTACTACTCGCTTATAAAACTGTAAAAATTTAGATTTTATATGATAGTGAGGTGTTCTGAAATATATTCAAATATAATTGTTCACTACATTTGTATATTTCAAGGCTTCTAAAACATTTCTCAGTCGCGACCCCTTTTTATCACTGAGAATTTTTTCCTGACTCCAGGACCTCATAATATTTACGAAAATTTTGTACGACCGTACAAGCATTACACAAATCTGACACACGCATCAGTGAAACTGTCAATTTTTTAATTTTTACTGTAATATACTATTGCAGTTTTGGGTGATTTAACTTTTAGGTCATTAACTAAAGACATGAACAATGTGAAAATTTTAAATAAGTAACAGACGAAATGATATCGTCATGTGCAAAGCAAGTAACGTAAAAGTTTATATTATAAAAAAAAAAGTCAATGTTATCGTTTTTTCTTTGTCTGTATTGTCTTATCTTTATCTATTTTCAGATACATTGTATAAAAATATTTGATAATTATAAAATTATTATAATAAGTTAAAGAAATATCAAATCTGCTAAAATTTTTGGTGACCCCCATGCTGCAGGTCGTGACCCACAGTTTAAGAAACTCTGGTATTTTTCATACATATTAATCTGATATAAAGAAATTGTAGCTCATAAAAATTTCTCATTTGTGATATATTGAGGACCAGGTGTCGTATTAATTAATTTTTTGAAATTTTATGGTATTTTGAAAAAGTATTTGCAATAAAGTGGAAAACGTAATACTTGCCAAAATTAAAAATTAAGTATTATGATGAAAGTAAACAATCAGGGTTGAAAGGGTTAGTAGTATTATAACTGTGCAGTTTAGATTCATGATCTGTTGTACAAAGAACATTTGTGATATATTTTCTCTTAGAATGAATGAATGAATTCTTGAGTTTTCTGGAGAACTAGAGTAACATATTCTAGTCATTAATTCGTTAAAATTCTTTGCACTGCAGTCACTTTTTTTTTTAAATACACCTTCCTTTGATGTATTTGTATATAAACCTATTTCATTGCGAATGGATTTTTTTATTCATCCCTTTCTTTAAAAATGTATTCAGAAAATCTTTCATTTAATGCTTTTATGTGTAGACATCACACACATGTATGTAGAAAAATTGTGTCATTATACTAAACTTTCTTTGATTACTAGAGTAACTATTTCTTCAAGAAAAGTATTTTTATAAGTATCAATTTGTCTGTCTCTTTCCCCCCCCAGGTTTTTTTAATGTGGCTTTTTGCATATTTCAATGTACAAATAGAATGAATTTTTTTTTTTTTTTTTTCTAAAAAATGTGTATTCAGAAAAGTGTATCTTACTAACGTGCATTGAAATTATATTCAGTACTGAAATATGATTTCTTGGATTTGGGAAAAAATGACTGTTAAGGTCTAAAAAGTCTAGTATTTATATTTTAATGTGACTTATACATTTAATTTTCAGTATTATTTACATTTTTATCGATGTGTTTGGACTTGCATGTTTCTGTGTATGTTTATCATGGTTAACATTTTGGATGTGCTTAATTTGTAAATCATTTTCTTATATATTTCATTTTGTGTGCTGCTTCTTTCATTAAAATTGTTTTTGTCATGAAAATAAATAAAAACTACAACAAATGGTGTTTTTTGTTCTCCATCGAGATTCATGTTCAAAATCTTTGAAAGGCCTTCCTGTAGCAGGCTTGATAAGTCATTAATCTGAGAAATGTCATTTTAATAGCTAAGGATTTAGTTGGATAGCCATACACCTATGTTTGAAATGCAGCCACTAAAATTTATAGGGCAGTTCTATTTTATGAACTGAAACTACACTCTCCAAGATGATGTCACTTCATATATTTCTTCTGTAAAATATGCACATGTGCTCTAACAGCCAAATATTGCAAATCCATGCATGAGATGAATTTTCTATAAACCTTTTGAACTGTAGAGGAGTTTGTGTACAAAATATTATATGATTTGGTGGCAGTTAGTGCCTAGAAAGAATATTGAAAGCTTTTCTGTAAAACTAACTACATTTTAAAAAATCTTCTAAGTTTGAATGCACTGTTTTCATTTCACTATAAATATTTTGAAACAGAAAGGAATAGTGATGCACTAAAATAAGTTATTGAATAATTAATATGTTAAGAATAAAATATTTCGTATATGTGAATATTTGCCAAGTAATGCCATATTACACCGCTGAAAACAATTAGGTGTTGTAAGATGTGAGAAAAGAAATAGAAGTAATGTACAAATAAAAATTAAATTTTATTGATGATGTTTGCCGGTAAACAAAAAATGCACAATTTGTGCTTGTTATACAAACGAACAAGAAATGTGATTTTTCAGATTTAAATGAGTTCCAATAAGGGGTATGGTTTCCTCTGATCGAAAGCAATGTTGCACACCTACGAGGTATGGAATCAGTGAGGGACCGGGATTTTCTCTTCCACTTCTGTAGAAAAGAGCTTTACAACTACTGAATTGTTTCTGGGGGTAATAAGCAACTAGCAACCCTTCTACTAGAATACCACGAATATGTTTAGTTGGGTTCATATATGAGGAACATGCTAGCCAATCCATTTGAAGGATTCCTTCGTAGAAAAGGAAATTGTCCACTAGCTGAGCATGATGTGATCTGGCATTGTCATCCATGACAATGAATTCATCTCCGATTGCTGTAGCATAAAGAACCACAATAGGTCTGAGGATCTCAGCTCTATATCATTGAGCTACTGATGTTGCGAGTGAATTTAAGTTGGGGTAGTCTGGCATCGTCTTTTGAGTAGAAGAACGATATGTAAGAAACATTTTGCATGTCCTGTTTGTCCTTGTGTGTTTTATGTGCTTCAGTAAAGTGTTTTATGATTGTGAAATGATTCCTGTCTTTTTTGAGGCCCTTCATCGGCCAGATGCCAACTCAAGAAAGTATTCTAGCTTTTCATTTTCAACATAGGGACGTGGTACTCTCGGCGAGACAGGGGTTTCGAATCTAGAGCTTTGAAGTTTGAATTATTCCTTAGAGATGGATTTGACTGCACTGAAAGCACAATGGAAGGGATTGACAACGTCATTTACTTTCAATCTGAAAAAAAAAAAAAAAAAAATGATAATTAGCTGGCTAAAAAAGTTATGAAGTAAATGAAGTGTCCATTTTAAAGCATTTGCAAGTTATTGTTTAAAGCATTTGCAAGTTTCAGAGACTTCAAGGTTGTCAGTCATTAATTGCTGAAAGTTTATTGAAGACTGTAGATGGTACAAAATTATATTTCGATGACTTCGAAGAAGCAGAAACATACAAGGACAGGCACGTAGAAATTTGCGCTAAACTGAAAAAGCGAATGCAAGAAGCTTCTATAGCTAGATATGAAAAAAAGAAAATTTTAATTACCAAAAATTGAGCTTACAAAATTTTCACTTGAATCAAGAGATTGTCCTTCTGGAGCTTATTTCAGAAGATTCATGAAGACAAGAAAGTCCCTACCTGATGATGATAATTTGCAATATCTAGTACAGTCTGTGGAGACAAAATCGAAAGCTGAACCTCTTATTCAGAGTTTTCCGGCTACGGCGAAAAATTTTCCAAAGGCCATCGAACTGTTAAAAGAACGATTTGAAGGATGATTTACTTGTCCCGATTTATGTTCGTGATTTATTTATTATGTGTGGTTATGAATACGTCGGAACTGAGGGCCAAGGACGATGATGGTCTGGAAACTGAACTGAGAGTTTAGAAAGAATGCAAGAAAGGTTTGGGGATTTTTGTAATTGCATTAGTTGAAAGCGGTTTGCCAGAAGAAATGTTGTTTATCTGAGAAACAAGGCGAAATTACACGGCAAGTGATTCCAAGAGTTTTCGCACGTGAGAAAAACTAATGAATTTTCTTTGCGAAGAAATCAAGGGGAAAAAATGGTGTCATTAGCAAGAACTGGGTTTGGCTCTCACTCTAATTTTAAAAAGAGCTCTGTTCCAGAAAACTTAAAGGAAGTTGAGCTTGTGATGGCTTCAATTCTGGTAAGCCTTGATAATAGTACAGATAAACGACTTAATTGCATTTTTTGTTATAAATTCCATCCCAGCAAAAGATGTTTCAAAGGAAAAGAAATGACTTTAAGTGATAAACAATTAAAGGTACATGTTTTCCATGTCTTAAAAAGACAGGTCATATAAGCAGATTGTGTAATATTAAGAACCAATTGAACTCAGCGTAATAATTCCGATTTTGATATGTGTCCTAAACAAAGAAAAATGAATGTGTGTAAAACACAGAATTCCCTCTGTAATTTCCGTAGAAGCGAAACTATTTACTTGCAAACCCTTTATATAGTCATTCGGTTTCAAGATCAAGAACGGAAGGTTCGCGCTCTGTGTGATTTGGCTATCCAAAGTACACTGCTGGCCATTAAAATTGCAACACCATGAAGGAAAGCAAATATAAAAAAGATATTTATTGTACATAGACAGTATAGCATTAAATTTCTAAGACGTTTGGCGGTTTATAGGGGTGCAAAATTAGTAGAAGCAGCTGCCACCCCGGGCAGCTAAAACGGACTTTGCCCGATTAGACATGATGTCGAATGGGCAATTCATTCCATGCTGCTTCAAGTCTGTACCACATTTCATCAATCGTATTAGCAGGAGAGGAGTGGCGGCCAGTCTCTCAGCAGCCCGTGACCAGATGGGTGACAGATCTGGAGACCTTGTAGGCCAGGGCAGCAGCCGAATACCCTGTGTATCGAAAAAGGTCAGAATACGATGTGCAACAATGTGATTTTGCATTATATTGTTGGAAGATAGCGTTTGGCAGACTTTGAAGAGAAGGCTCAACCACTGGACTAAGATGTCAAAAATGTTCCGATCTGCGTCGTCCGTCGATCCGAACTAGAGATGTGTGTGTCGTGTACCCCATGGCTGCCCAAACCATCACACCAGATGCAGGGTTCCTGTACCGATATCAAGTGCAAGCAGGTGACGTGCAGTCTCCACGGAGCCTTCAGACACATATACGCCCATTAGAATACTGCACGCAGAACCATGACTCGTCTGAAAAGACGACATCGTGCCATTCCTGTATCTAATTCTGACGTTTGGTGCACCATTGTCCCCGCCTCTCTCTCTATGCTGTCAAGGGAAGCTGAAGTAATGGTCGTCGTGCTGATAGTCCACGCTGCTGCAAACGTTGATGCACCGTACAAGCGGAAACATGCCCAGTTTCAGACTAATGGTCCATGATATGGTTGTACGGTTTTGCAGCACTAGCATCACAATATGTTTGTCCTCTCAGGCGATAGTCATGAGAGGGCATTGAGATCCTGCATGCCGTTCAGTATGACCCTTAGCAGTCCATTGATTCCATATTCGCATATGACAGTGGTTGGATATCGACCTGTGCGATGAGCGATATCACTGCATCATAACCCACACTCTCGATAGGCAACAATCCTGC